TCCTAACTGGACCGCTGGGTACGGGCCCCGAGCTTGCGCTCCTTGCCCGGGCATTCTGCTGGGGTGAACCATCCCAGCGTCGTTCTTTTACCGGCCGACCTGCCGGCCGGCCGGAGGGCGGCTGCTTCTAAGCAGCCGCCTGTGGGCGTTGTGTGGCAGGAATCATTATGTCGCTCGCCGAGCCGGCTTAACGCCGCCACGTCACGTAAATGACGTGATCACTCGGTGGAGAGTAGGTCGCGCGGGAGCGCGCGAGTGGCGTCCGGTGGGCGCGCGTGGAGAGGGGCGAGGTCGCGCAGGTGCGCTTCGCGCCCGCTGTCCGCGCGCGAGAACATCGCGCGCGTCAACCGGACGACGAACTGCTCCACCGATGGGACCTTGAGGTCGCGGGCGATCACGTCATTACGGACGTACCGTCCGGCATTTGTGCACAGACGGAGGGCGGCGTTCTGTTGGACCTGCAGTCTCCGCCGCTGTGAGGCCGAGCACAGTGCGTACCATGCGGGGGCGGCATATGTGAGCCGCGAACGAATGTAGGTCTTATAAATGCCTACTTTCGTCCGCAGCTGCAGCCTGGATTGTAAGACCGGTCGCAGCATAGCGCGCGCGGCCTTGGCTTGGGTGACAACCCGGTCCACCTGCGGCTTCATACGCAGCGACCGGTCGATTTCTACCCCTAGGTAACGCACTGTGCGTTCCCACTGTATGGGCTGGCCTCTCAGTAAGAGGGGCGGCGGGCATTTGCACCCGGGGCGGGTAAGCAGCGCCACCGTTTTACCCACGTTAACGGTGGTACGCCACTTATCCAGCCACTCGGGGAGCAGGTCCAACAGCCGCTGCATTTTGCGAGCGGCTGCGTAGGCTCGGCGAGACGACGTAAGAAAGGCACTGTCGTCGGCGAAAAGAGCGAGGACGACATCCCTCTCTCCCTCTCGGAGCTCATCCCTCAAGGTGGGGATGTCGTCTGTGTACGTCGCGTAGAGCGCTGGCGAAATGCAGCTGCCCTGCGGGACTCCGGCGGCAATTGGGCGTGTGGTAGAATCACAGTTCTCGACCGAAACATAGAAGCTCCGGCCCGAGAGGAACGAGTCCACTACTCGCACGTATGCTGACGGCGTGTTGGTGTCGAGCAACTTCGACACCAAACCGTCGTGCCACACACGGTCGAACGCCTTCTCTATATCGAGAAATACGCCGACCGTGTAGTGGCCGCGGTTGTGCTCGACAGCCATATGGTGGAGCACGCGCGTCAGCTGCAAAGTCGTCGAGTGTCCGCCTCTGAAACCGAACTGCTCGTCGCGAGGCGACAGAGTCGGTCTCAGGCGGCGGAGCAGGAGGCGCTCGAACGACTTTGCTACGTGCGAGAGCAGAGTGATGGGCCGGTAGCTTGCCGGCAGGCGCTTGTCCTTGCCGGGTTTCGGGAGGACTATGACTCTACCCAACTTCCAGTTGGTAGGGAAGTGGCCGGTCCGGAGTATGCCGTTGTAGAGCCTCGCTAGACACGCTAGGGCTCTACGGGGCAGCTGTGCGAGCGCTGCGGTGCTGATCCCGTCCGCTCCGGGCGCTTTGCGCTTCGGCAGGCGGCTGACGAGCCGCCTTACCTCGCCGGGCGAAACGAAGCTCACTTCGTTTACGTCCGGCGACGGAGCGGTACGGAAATCGCATACGCGACGTACGACTCGCTCGTGGTGCTCGACGACAGTGCTGGGTGCGTCGGCGGCGATTGGATTGGCCGTGAATTGCCCCTCCAAGTGCTGTGCCAGGATTTCTGCCCGGTCTTGGGCTGCGTAACGACGTCTGCCCGTCTCGTCAAGCAACGGGCAGACGGGGGGTCGTGCATTGGTGAGCTGTCGATTGAGTTTGTGCAGGTCGGTATCGTGTTCGCCGGCCCGGGATATGACACCCTCCCAGGCGGCTCCACGCCAATCCCGCACTCCCTCCGACAGCTCTGCAGCCAGGCAGTTGAGCTCACGCTTGACCCGCGGGCAGCGGGTTCGGGCCCATAGGCGACGGAGGTTCTTTTTCCGGGCGAGTTTTTCGCGCAGATGGTGTGGCAATTCCTCTCGACGGCGAGAAGCCACGTTTATTGTGGTAGTTGCCGCCTCTACGGCGGTGCGAATTCGCTCCGTTAGGAGTGTAGAGGCGGCTTCGACACCCGCTGGCGATGATAGTTCGCCGTCGAGGTGTAGATGCTCCAATTCTGCGCGAAAAACACGCCAATCCATCCGCCGCCTCGACGGTCTCGTCGGTGTGGTGGTGGTGGAGAGGTCAAGCGTGGCTAGAACTGGGAGGTGCTGCGTGTCAAGGTCGTACAGCACCTCCAGTAAGACCGGGCAAGGCACAGCCTGCACTAGGGCAATGTCCAGAACGTCTGGGCTATGTGTGGGATTTGAGGGTACGTGGGTTGGGTGCGCTGGGCCCAACACCTCGTACCCGTGGATCTGCGAATCCTGGAGGAGTCTTCGACCTATCGGCGAGCACAGACGGGAACCCCAAGCCGTGTGCTTCGCGTTTAGGTCGCCCATAAGCAGGGTGGGACTCCTCCCATCCAGAACGTTCCGGACATCGGAGGGGCTGAATTCCAGTCCCGGGGGACGGTAAGCTGCCAGGACCTTCAGTTCCGCGCCGTCGACGTTGATGCTGACTCCTATGGAGCGCATGACGCGGAACTCGGGGCGCTCTAACTCCACGTGGACCACGTCCCGACGGACTAGTACCGCCGTACCGCGGTACGCAATGCCCGCCGGTGACGTTTCGTCGCGTCTATACACGTGGTAGTTAGGCACCCTCAACGTCTCCTTTTCTGTGAGCTTCGTTTCACCCAGGAGTATGATGTGCACATCCTGGGTGCGAGCTAGGAGACGGAGGTCCTGGACTTTATCCTTTATTCCCCGGGGTTCCAGTACACAATGCGCAGGCTAGTACCCGCCATTTGTGTACTGTTGGATTTTGGCCAATCCATTTAATGCCGCCGACTTTGTGTCCGCGCCGGCCGCGAGCGTAGTTAGCAGCTCCGTCAACAGGCTAATAAGCATGTTCAGTGCTCTGTCGACGGGCGCTTGTGTGAAGGGCGCGGGCGCGGCGTGTGCCGAACGCGGCGCGGGGTATGCGGTGTATGTGGGAGGCGCGGGAGGTGCGCGTCTTACGTCCGCCAAAAGCGGCTTGAATGCCACTCTCGGCACAGTGTGTGCCGGTGGCGCCGCCTGGCGGCGACGTGGCGCTGCACGCGGGCCCTGATTTGGGACGGCATGCATGGGAAGGGAGGGGGGTGCGTTGTACGCAAATATTGGGGTGGGATCAGGTAGGAAGGGGATTGGGGTTGATGCCGTCACGGGGTCATCTCCGCGCCTCTTCTTGCCGCGTCTTCGGCGGCGGCGCTTTTTAATTGCACCGGCGTCGGCGCCTCGTTGCGTCGGTTCGTTAGCCGGCGCCATTAGGTTGGCGCCAGCGGTTTCCTCGACCGTTATTACGGGAGGGGGAGCCTGGGCGACGTATGTACGAGGCGCCGCGGTGGGATTATTGCGCCGCCGTTGCTGCGCCTTGGGCGCCGTCGACGACGCAGTGGGGACGGGGGGACGGGGCTTGATTCCCCTCTGCCGGGCCTCTCTTTTATACACCGGGCACTTCCGGTCGTTGGCGGTGTGAGGTTTTGCGCAGTTGGCACATGTCGGCTTTTGGTCACGCGGCCTGTCGCAGTTCGCCGCCGGGTGCTCCCCACCACAGCGAACGCATTTTACAGGCCGGTGACAGTTGGCCGATGCATGGCCGAATGCCTGGCATCTGTGGCATTGTGGCAGCACCGATGCCGGCTTCCACGCCTCAACCACGACGCCCCGCATGTACAGGAGCTCGTCAGTCGCGTACAAGCGTGTGAGCTCGTCCCTGTCCATGGGGTCGAGTTGGGCGTGGAAAATGCAGCCGGGGCGGCCGCGACGCGCGGGTATGCCCCGCACTAGCCGCACTCCGAACCCCTTCTCCTGCAGTGCCTCCACAATCTTTTCGTTGGGCGTGTCGGCTGGGAGTCCCCTTATCGCCACCTTGGTGGGCAGTTCCGAGGCCAGACTGTAGAAGTACCAACTTATAGTTGGGTCCTTCTCGCTGGCTTCTATGAGGTATCTCTGGACGGCTCGGAATTCGTCGTCCGTCCTTGGCAGGAATCTGACCCCACTGCCGAAGGGTCGTGCATTTGGAGCCTCCCCCAGGACGCGCCTGAGCTGGTCGAAGTGGCGCGTCCAGTTAGGGAGGCGTTCTACCACTATGGGGGGGTACTTTCCTCGCCCTGTGGCGGGTTCGGCTCCTGCGTCGGCGTTCCTCGTCTGAGAGGGGAGGGGCGGAGCGAGTGCCGGGGCACCCGAGGTGGCAGGGGCTGGGGTGGCGGGGGCCGAGGTGGCGGGACCCGCCGCTACTGCCGCGAATGACGGCGGGGTTCGTCGTCGCGGCGAGGGGACGGGGGGGAGCATCGGCTCGGGCGATTGTGAAACCGCCTCGAGTGCCGCATTTTTCATACAAATTTCGTTGGTTACGTATTCCGGAGGCAATACCTTATCGCGAGTTCCGTGTTTTTAGCTCGATTCTAAAGTTAATTTTCATTATGGCTTTTGGAGTTTTTCGATGTTATTACCTCTGTAACACGTTTTCCCCCTTATAATTCTTATTTACATGTGAACTTTGCATAATTCCCTATCTAAAAAGTACACATACATAATCATCACAATAGTATTTCTTATAAATACAAGGTAAATTATCTCTAACTTACACCGATTTTCACATTTAACAATAGTGAAATACTACAACTATAACAGGAACATTACTTATATCTAGTTCGTTATAGTTATTTTAATCATATAGCTTATATTTACATAACTAAATACGGTTTACATACATTATTGCTCGTTTTTTCATATATCATACTGTTTGTATCATTTACATTATTTTAAACTTATCTATATGATATTACGCGTTGTATTTTAATTTTACATTATTATTGATCTTATTCTACGTTATTTCACGCTGTCCTCTACATTCTCCCCCCGGCGTAGTGACGACGTAGCCTCTTCTGGTGACAGCGAGGTTAGTCTTGCATCCTGGATTGTCTCCTGCAGCACCGCTAGCTTGGAGGTTGGTCGCCGGAACACTCCGCTCCGTGTTCGGACGTCCGCACTGCGCACCTGACCATCTGGGCCCGGATATACATGTTCCACAATCCCTCGCGGCCATGTATTGCGAGGCAGTGACGAGTCGACCACGATGACCACGTCCCCTTCAGCGATCACTCGGGGGTTCTGTGGCGTTCCTCGTCGTGGCACGAGCGTCGGCAGGTACTCGTGGAGCCATCTCCTCCAAAACTCGTCTGCTAGTCCTTGAGCTGCTCTCCAGGCTCGTCTGTCAGCCAATTCGCAGGGTCCCACGTACGGCTGGCCTGTTGATGACCCGATCAAGAAGTGGTTAGGAGTTAACGCTTCAGGGTCGTCAGGATCCACCGACACGTGCGTGAGGGGTCTCGCGTTGATAGAGTATTCTGCCTCTGTCAACACGGTCTGCAGCACCTCCTCTTTCGGTGCCTTCTCGTTCAACGTAGCGATCAAAGCGGTTTTTACTGACCGCACCATTCTCTCCCATGCTCCACCTTGGCTGGGAGCTCCAGGAGGGATGTACTTCCACTGCATCCGATAATGGAGTCCTAGTTCCTGCATGGCTGGAGTCCAATCCGCGTAGGCCTGTCGGAGCTCAGCATCTGCTCCTTTGAAGTTCGTCCCATTATCGCTGTACATGGTTATGGGCCATCCGCGTCGAGCTGCCATTCTTCTTATTGCCATGATTGCGGAATCCGTAGATAAGGATGCTACAAGCTCTAGGTGAACCGCTCGCGTTGTCAGGCACGTGAATAGAGCTCCCCACCTCTTCTCATGACGTCTACCGATCGTCACCGTCATGGGACCGAAATAATCCAGCCCGCAATGAGAAAAGGGTCTGTGGAAGGCTCCCAGTCGTTCTTCGGGTAAGTTTCCCACAGGCGGCTTCTTAGGATTAGCTCTTCTCACGTGACAAAAGGCGCAATCCTTCGTCAAACTTCTGACTGTCGGTCTTAGCTTTAGGATCCAGTATCTCTGACGCAGGTCATTCACCACTCTCTCTCGGCTTCCGTGTCCCGCTCTTCTGTGCTCCTTCATTATTAATAATTTGGTGAAGGGATGGCGACCGTCCAACACGATGGGATTCTTCATATCCGCGGACACGTGTGCAGCTTCGATTCTTCCATCCAGCCGTAATAATTTTTCCTTATAGATTGGATGAAGCCGGTGTAGTGGACTTGTTCTCGGAAGTGTCTTCCCCGTCTTCATCAGTTCTATTTCGGCGCGGAAGCTGTCGTTCTGTGCCTTCTGGAGCCATAAAAGTTCTGCCCTTCTCAAGTGATCGACGTGTAGAGCAGCCCGTCGATCACGGCACTTCTCTGGGAACAGCAGCGCCATTGCTGTCGCCCTGATAAGACGCTCGTAACTAGAGAAGCGTGTTACATCAGGTAGGCAATCTAAACTGCAGTCGTCTTCTACTGCGTGTAGAATGATCTGTTCGTCATCTCGTTCTTCGATGATCGAGTGTTGTTGAGGCCATTCGTTCATTGGTCTCGATAGGAATTCCGGACCGCGGAACCATGGGTCTTCGGGGTTCTCCGGCACGTATCCTGGTCTGGTCGCTATGTCGGCGACGTTCTGCTTGCTCGTTACCCATCTCCACTGGTGTACTGACGTCAACTCGGCGATCTCTCCCAGTCGATGCGATACATAGGGTGTATATCGCAGATTCCCGTTCTGAATCCACTGTAGAACCACTTGAGCGTCAGTCCAGAAGAAAACAGCGTCGGCTATCCATCGATGATCTTTCACAATATTGCTTCCTAGCCTCGCACCGATCAGTGCGGCTTGCAATTCCAGTCGCGGGATCGTCTGGCTTTTCAACGGAGCTACTTTAGCCTTTGCTGCTGCTAAAATAGTCTTAACGTCTCCGTTTTCTTGTTCCAGCCTCCAATAAGCTGCTGCGGCGTAGGCGTCCTTGCTGGCATCGCAGAAGATGTGCAGCTGTCGACTTCTCACTGGACTCCCCCGTTGTAACTTCGCGGTAGTTCGAGGCGGCTAATATGTTCGAGGTTCATTAACCACTTGGCGAAGTTTTCAGAGGCTTCTGACGGCAGCGGTTCATCCCAGCCCAGTTTCTGTCGCCACAGGTCTTGGAGTATCATTTTCGCGGTGATCGTATAGCAGCTGAGTAATCCCAGCGGATCGTATATACTCATGACTGTGCTTAGAGTTTCTCGCTTGGTCGGTGCACGAGTCATATTGTATACTTCTCTGGGAACTCTATTCAGTGAAGTATTAAATTTCAACACGTCGTTCACTGAGTCCCATAACATTCCCAATGTCTTCTGTTCATCTTTGGTGATCGCTTGCGTTGTGTTTTTCGCATGCCGATCTTTCGGTATATTCTTCATAATGTTGATATTGTTGCTCGTCCATCCTCTTAATCTGAAGCCTGCCTTCTTGTGCACGTAGTCCACTTGACTTATTACTTTTTCAGCGTCTTCTTTTGTGGCGTAACTATCCACATAATCGTCCATGTAGTGGGCTTCCGTTATTGCACGAAAAGCTTCGGGATGCGTTTCATTATATTCTTGTGCGTTCTTATTTCTGACAGCGTGCGCCAGAAACGGTGAACTCGTAGCGCCGAAAATCATCGCTGCCATCTTATATGTTGTGGGCGGTTGATTTTCATCTTCCCTCCACAGGAACATTTGCGCAGGTTGGTCTTCTTTTCTTATTTTTATTTGAAGAAACATTTCTTCCACGTCGGCTTTTACGGCGACGGCTTCTTCACGGAATCGAAAGAGTATTCTCATCAGTGATATCAACAGATCAGGGCCTTCTAGCAAGAAATCGTTCAGGCATACTCCGTGGGTTTTAGCTGCGGCGTCGAACACCAGTCGCACCTTTCCCGGCTTGTTTGGATTTCTAACGGGAAAGTGTGGTAAGTACCATTGCACTTTGCTGCCTGTTTCTGATCCGTCACACTTTACAGCGTATTTCTTGTTTACCAAGTTCTGTATTTGTTCTTCGTATTGTTGTTTCTCTTCAGCTGATCTATTCAATTTGTGCTCTAGATTTTTCAGTCTTCTGAGAGCGTTGTTATAATTTACAGGTAACTTGATGTCGTCTCGGCACCATAGGAGTCCGACCTCGTAGTGTCCGTCTTCTCTTCGTTTCGCTGTTCTCTCGAAGATGTCAACGGCACGTTGATCCTGTTTATTTAACTTCTTTTCTGTCGCTATTCCTAGTGCGTCGATTTCGAAGTGTTTCTTTATCATTTCTTCTAAGTGATCGCCTTGTGAGATGACGTTCACTACGTGAAGGATGTTCTCGCAATCTTGCTTTATAATCTTTTTCGGAACGCTTCCATGGATCACCCAGCCGAGCTGTGTTTTAGAGGCAGCTGGTTGATTTTTCTTTCCCATTCTTAGTTCTCTGGACACGATCAGTTGCCAGTTGTCGGTGCCTATGAGAAGTTGTGGTTTCTTATTCTCATAGCACAAGTCTTCTTGTTTGAGATCTTGAAGATGTTCTAAGTCCAATAGCTTTTCAGGTATTGACTGACTTAATAAATTCATGCCGGTCAATGTTCTGGCTGTCATGACGTGTTCCTTTCCGTCTTGACTGCGAATGTTCAACTTTATTGTTCGGCTGTTCATCTCTTTATGTTCTGAATTTATTCCATGCATTAATAATGCCTTAGAGGGTCCGTCGGCTCCAATCGCTTCTGCTATGTCGTTATCCAGCAGCGTGACTGTTGAACCTTCATCGAATAATGCATAGATCTTCGTTTCTCCTTTTGGTCCACTTATCGTTACAGGTCGTATTTTCAGTTTTATTTCTCGTCCGTGAGCAATAGATGCTGTTGCCACGGTGTCTTCGGTTTCTGAGACGGTTGTTACGGATGATGCAACCGTTTCCTGGTGAAGTAGCGCATGATGCGGTCGCTTGCAGCCGTTGCTTCCGCAGCTCTTCGCTCGACAGTTCATTCTTCTATGTCTTCGGGATAGACATTTGAAACATAGCTTAGCGTTCTTCGCCGTGTTCCATCTTTCTTGTATGTTCTGATTGAGGAACTTAGAACACTTAGGTAAGTTGTGTCCTTGTCCACAAGCGGGGCATTTCATGATTTCCTCTTCGTTTTCCTCGGTGTTAATTGCAAAAACCGGCTTCTTCATTCTGAGTTCTGTGGTTTTAACAACAGGTCGAGGTACTTCTTTCTTCACTGTATAGAACCCGTGCTTCAAGGCTCTATCAGCTTCTCTCATCAGAAATTCCGACAGCATAATTATTTCTGGCTTGCTACTTGTTTCTGAAGCCTCTACTGCGTAGTCGTACCACCTGGTCTTCTGATGAGGGCTGAGCTTCTCCAGTATGTCTCTGATAAGCAATGGATTGTGAAGATATCCTTGCTTTAATCTTCTCAGGATAGCTACAGCGTTCTGAATTTTAACGGCGAATGTATTTAATTCGACGGCTGTTCCGCTGAGTCTCGGTAGTTTTTTCATGTCTTCCATCAATCGATCTATGATGACTTCCGGTCGTCCGAAACATTGTTCTAATGTCTTCATTATTTGATCAGGCGGTGTTGCGACACCTAGTAACGGTGCAACTGCTTCTTTAGCTTCCCCGCGTAGGCAGTTACGAAGGCGAGCTAAGTTTTCCATCGGCGTGAAATTATACATGGCAGTTGTATCTTCCATTGCCGTCTTGAATTGTAACCAGTCGGTCGGTGCGCCGGTGAATATTGGTAGTTCGGAGGCTTGACGAGGCGGCGGGCGGCGGGTCATCATTTTTTCTAACACCTCCGCTAATTGTTCTACCCCTCGGCCACGTGATCTTGCTGGAGTAGGAGATTTTTCTCTGTGTGGTGTCTCCCATCCGACACGCGTTTTATAGCCTTCTGTTGTTCGTCTTCTGTGCGGCGTATCTACTGGTTTTGATTCCATCGTTGCAGTAGTGGTGATCTGCGGAGGGTAGGGTGCAGTTGACTCCCCCGTGCTGTTTCCTGGTCGGGGCCACTCTCATTCAGCCAGGCAGTGACGCGTTGCTTCACTTGTTCTGGTGGCTCCTCTTCTTCAGTATTACTGTCCTCTTCTAGCGCGGCCATGTCTGCAGCGAGCTTCTTTTTAATCAGTTCCGCTTCTATCTGCAGTTCCCGTCTTCGTATGGCTGCTAGTTTTTCTTCAGCTTCATACTGCATGCGAGCAATAACGCTTGCAGTGGAGCGGCGCGTTCGTATAGAAATCGCCTTTCGTGGAGTAGTGTACACTGGATCTGGTACATTCTGTACGGTTTCTCGGGCTTCAGGTACTGGCGCTTCCCTTGTACTGGCTGCGGTCGCGTCCGTCCGGTTCGCGGCACGATCGGCAACTGTAGCTCGGGCCTCTCGGTCGGTTTGTTCAGCGGCGCGTGTCCCTCGTTCGGTATGTATCCCGCCGTGTGCAGGATGCTGGCTCGACGACGCTGCTGCCGACGGAGAGCGTGGGGGCTCCGTATATACCCTTCCCGTTTCTTCGTTCCCAGCTTGACTTCTTGTAACGACCATTTTTTCTTCCGTAGATCCGGCTACTCGAAGGACCACACAATGTTATGGCCGGTAAATAAAATCCCAGGGTTACTTCACTGGTTTAATTTCTTGATAGTTACAACTTGCTGACCGTACTGAACTACTGAACTGAATATATAATACTGTACTGCATAGGAATATACTGAACTGGTACTGGAATAATTTTTCATATTTTTTATTATTGGGTCGTCCGCTGGTCCTAACTGGACCGCTGGGTACGGGCCCCGAGCTTGCGCTCCTTGCCCGGGCATTCTGCTGGGGTGAACCACCCCAGCGTCGTTCTTTTACCGGCCGACCTGCCGGCCGGCCGGAGGGCGGCTGCTTCTCAGCAGCCGCCTGTGGGCGTTGTGTGGCAGGAATCATTATGTCGCTCGCCGAGCCGGCTTAACGCCGCCACGTCACGTAAATGACGTGATCACTCGGTGGAGAGTAGGTCGCGCGGGAGCGCGCGAGTGGCGTCCGGTGGGCGCGCGTGGAGAGGGGCGAGGTCGCGCAGGTGCGCTTCGCGCCCGCTGTCCGCGCGCGAGAACATCGCGCGCGTCAACCGGACGACGAACTGCTCCACCGATGGGACCTTGAGGTCGCGGGCGATCACGTCATTACGGACGTACCGTCCGGCATTTGTGCACAGACGGAGGGCGGCGTTCTGTTGGACCTGCAGTCTCCGCCGCTGTGAGGCCGAGCACAGTGCGTACCATGCGGGGGCGGCATATGTTCGTCAAACCGCGAACGAATGTAGGTCTTATAGATGCCTACTTTCGTCCGCAGCTGCAGCCTGGATTGTAAGACCGGTCGCAGCATAGCGCGCGCGGCCTTGGCTTGGGTGACAACCCGGTCCACCTGCGGCTTCATACGCAGCGACCGGTCGATTTCTACCCCTAGGTAACGCACTGTGCGTTCCCACTGTATGGGCTGGCCTCTAAGTAAGAGGGGCGGCGGGCATTTGCACCCGGGGCGGGTAAGCAGCGCCACCGTTTTACCCACGTTAACGGTGGTACGCCACTTATCCAGCCACTCGGGGAGCAGGTCCAACAGCCGCTGCATTTTGCGAGCGGCTGCGTAGGCTCGGCGAGACGACGTAAGGAAGGCACTGTCGTCAGCGAAAAGAGCGAGGACGACATCCCTCTCTCCCTCTCGGAGCTCATCCCTCAAGGTGGGGATGTCGTCTGTGTACGTCGCGTAGAGCGCTGGCGAAATGCAGCTGCCCTGCGGGACTCCGGCGGCAATTGGGCGTGTGGTAGAGTCACAGTTCTCGACCGAAACATAGAAGCTCCGGCCCGAGAGGAACGAGTCCACTACTCGCACGTATGCTGACGGCGTGTTGGTGTCGAGCAGTTCTTTGACACCAAACCGTCGTGCCACACACGGTCGAACGCCTTCTCTATATCGAGAAATACGCCGACCGTGTAGTGGCCGCGGTTGTGCTCGACAGCCATATGGTGGAGCACGCGCGTCAGCTGCAAAGTCGTCGAGTGTCCGCCTCTGAAACCGAACTGCTCGTCGCGAGGCGACAGAGTCGGTCTCAGGCGGCGGAGCAGGAGGCGCTCGAACGACTTTGCTACGTGCGAGAGCAGAGTGATGGGCCGGTAGCTTGCCGGCAGGCGCTTGTCCTTGCCGGGTTTCGGGAGGACTATGACTCTACCCAACTTCCAGTTGGTAGGGAAGTGGCCGGTCCGGAGTATGCCGTTGTAGAGCCTCGCTAGACACGCTAGGGCTCTACGGGGCAGCTGTGCGAGCGCTGCGGTGCTGATCCCGTCCGCTCCGGGCGCTTTGCGCTTCGGCAGGCGGCTGACGAGCCGCCTTACCTCGCCGGGCGAAACGAAGCTCACTTCGCTTACGTCCGGCGACGGAGCGGTACGGAAATCGCATACGCGACGTACGACTCGCTCGTGGTGCTCGACGACAGTGCTGGGTGCGTCGGCGGCGATTGGATTGGCCGTGAATTGCCCCTCCAAGTGCTGTGCCAGGATTTCTGCCCGGTCTTGGGCTGCGTAACGACGTCTGCCCGTCTCGTCAAGCAACGGGCAGACGGGGGGTCGTGCATTGGTGAGCTGTCGATTGAGTTTGTGCAGGTCGGTATCGTGTTCGCCAGCCCGGGATATGACACCATCCCAGGCGGCTCCACGCCAATCCCGCACTCCCTCCGACAGCTCTGCAGCCAAGCAGTTGAGCTCACGCTTGACCCGCGGGCAACGGGTTCGGGCCCATAGGCGACGGAGATTCTTTTTCCGGGCGAGTTTTTCGCGCAGATGGTGTGGCAATTCCTCTCGACGGCGAGAAGCCACGTTTATTGTGGTAGTTGCCGCCTCCACTGCGGTGCGGATTCGCTCCGTTATGAGTGTGGAGGCGGCTTCGACACCCGCTGGCGATGATAGTTCGCCGTCGAGGTGTAGATGCTCCAATTCTGCGCGAAAAACACGCCAATCCATCCGCCGCCTCGACGGTCTCGTCGGTGTGGTGGTGATGGAGAGGTCAAGCGTGGCTAGAACTGGGAGGTGCTGCGTGTCAAGGTCGTACAGCACCTCCAGTAAGACCGGGCAAGGCACAGCCTGCACTAGGGCAATGTCCAGAACGTCTGGGCTATGTGTGGGATTTGAGGGTACGTGGGTTGGGTGCGCTGGGCCCAACACCTCGTACCCGTGGATCTGCGAATCCTGGAGGAGTCTTCGACCTATCGGCGAGCACAGACGGGAACCCCAAGCCGTGTGCTTCGCGTTTAGGTCGCCCATGAGTAGGGTGGGACTCCTCCCATCCAGAACGTTCCGGACATCGGAGGGGCTGAAATCCAGTCCCGGGGGACGGTAAGCTGCCAGGACCTTCAGTTCCGCGCCGTCGACGTTGATGCTGACTCCTATGGAGCGCATGACGCGGAACTCGGGGCGCTCTAACTCCACGTGGACTACGTCCCGACGGACTAGTACCGCCGTACCGCGGTACGCAATGCCCGCCGGTGACGTTTCGTCGCGTCTATACACGTGGTAGTTAGGCACCCTCAACGTCTCCTTTTCTGTGAGCTTCGTTTCACCCAGGAGTATGATGTGCACATCCTGGGTGCGAGCTAGGAGACGGAGGTCCTGGACTTTATCCTTTATTCCCCCGGGGTTCCAGTACACAATGCGCAGGCTAGTACCCGCCATTTGTGTACTGTTGGATTTTGGCCAATCCATTTAATGCCGCCGACTTAGTATCTGCGCCGGCCGCGAGCGTTGTTAGCAGCTCCGTCAACAGGCTAATAAGCATGTTCAGTGCTCTGTCGACGGGCGCTTGTGTGAAGGGCGCGGGCGCGGCGTGTGCCGAACGCGGCGCGGGGTATGCGGTGTATGTGGGAGGCGCGGGAGGTGCGCGTCTTACGTCCGCCAAAGGCGGCTTGAATGCCACTCTCGGCACATTGTGTGCCGGTGGCGCCGCCTGGCGGCGACGTGGCGCTGCACGCGGGCCCTGATTTGGGACGGCATACATGGGAAGGGAGGGGGGTGCGTTGTACGCAAATATTGGGGTGGGATCAGGTAGGAAGGGGATTGGGGTTGATGCCGTCACGGGCTCATCTCCGCGCCTCTTCTTGCCGCGTCTTCGGCGGCGGCGCTTTTCGTAGCACCGGCGTCGGCGCCTCGTTGCGTCGGTTCGTTAGCCGGCGCCATTAGGTTGGCGCCAGCGGTTTCCTCGACCGTTATTACGGGAGGGGGAGCCTGGGCGACGTATGTACGAGGCGCCGCGGTGGGATTATTGCGCCGCCGTTGCTGCGCCTTGGGCGCCGTCGACGACGCAGTGGGGACGGGGGGACGGGGCTTGATTCCCCTCTGCCGGGCCTCTCTTTTATACACCGGGCACTTCCGGTCGTTGGCGGTGTGAGGTTTTGCGCAGTTGGCACATGTCGGCTTTTGGTCACGCGGCCTGTCGCAGTTCGCCGCCGGGTGCTCCCCACCACAGCGAACGCATTTTACAGGCCGGTGACAGTTGGCCGATGCATGGCCGAATGCCTGGCATCTGTGGCATTGTGGCAGCACCGATGCCGGCTTCCACGCCTCAACCACGACGCCCCGCATGTACAGGAGCTCGTCAGTCGCGTACAAGCGTGTGAGCTCGTCCCTGTCCATGGGGTCGAGTTGGGCGTGGAAAATGCAGCCGGGGCGGCCGCGACGCGCGGGTATGCCCCGCACTAGCCGCACTCCGAACCCCTTCTCCTGCAGTGCCTCCACTATCCTCTCATTGGGAGTGTCGGCGGGG